TCATTACGAGAGGAGATTATGAGAGAACTGCGGATCGAGCGGATTCGGTAAGCACAGGATGAGGAGTCGTGGATCTCAGGACTGAAGAAATATTTAGTTGGAGAGATCCGAGATCTGACGCAAGAAGAGACTAAGGTGTTTGGATCCATTCCGATGAATTATGAAGTGGTTCAGTCGGATCTACTCTTCTATTGTCTGACAACTAAGGAGGCTGCTGCGGATCGAGATAATTTGATGCGACTGGTGGTGCCTGAGATGCTTCAACAAAATATTTTGATTACTATCACATGAGTCTGCAGGGTGGTCATCAAGGAATTGGTCGTACCTATGATCGGATCCGCGATCATTTCCACTGGATAGGGCTGTATAAGAGCGTACAGCGATATGTGGGAGAACGTGTCGACTGTGAAACAGGCAAAGGACGACCCCTTATCCAGGGTTAATCACCTGGTAACCTTCAGGCGACATACCCATTCCAGATCATTGCCATGGATTATATACCTTCATTGCCTAGATCCTTCAACGGCAACACCAAGTTGTTGATCTTCGTGGATCTGTTCTCGGGATATGTGATCGCCAAAGCCAGCGCCTCTAGATCCGCTCAGACAATCGCTGAGACCTACAAAGAATGGGTCTTCCGCCGATTTGGTGCGAGCGAGGTGATCCGGCACGATCGGGATCCAGGCTTTATGTCTGACTTGTTTAAGTCTTTTAACAAGATCCTGGGACAACGTCAACGGGCTACTATGGCTTATCACCCCCAAGCTAATGGATCCGCAGAGCGTATAGTCCAGACAACTACCAGGGCTCTAAAGATGTATGTGAAAGATCTGGATCAACGAGATTGGAACGAATACGCTGAGCGGCTCACCTTCGCGATCAACACTGCAAGAGAGCGGATCCGAGGTAAAACCCCTTTCTACATGATACATGGTTGGGATCCTAGATCCACCTTGGAATCGGTGATCCCGGTGGGGAGCACCCGCAGGCTCGATCGAGATCCAAGAAGATGGCGATACCGGATGCAAAGGTACTATCAACAAGCTCGAGAACAAGAGAACCAACGTTTACGCGAAGCGATCGCGGATCGGGCCGACATACATAATGATCTAGTATGTCCTCATCCTGTAGAGTCTGGGTCAAGGATCTG